TCGTAACACAAAAACGAATTGCATTAAGGAGAAACGAAAAATGTTTTGTTTGATTCGCTGAGAAAATTTTAAGACATATAGTAAAGAGAAATATAATATAAAAATAGACTCGTCTCAGAAATAAGCATCGCATAACTCAAAAAGCAGTCAATGACACGAGTTTTTTACATCAACACCTGTTACAGAGTTCTCAATTAATAAATTGCGATAACTAGAAATGAAAATCATCTTTTTTATTGAGTCGTAACAGGCTTTTAAAATAGCGGATAGTAAACGTGGAATTCTCACGGTTCTTGTGGCTGGGTTTCAGACGTTTAAATAAGGGTGATGGGAGACAAAAAGGTGATTAAGTTTTCATCATAACCACATAGAATGGATACGTCTTTTGTTTTGATAACAATAGAGGATTTGAAGGGTTTAATGAGTGTATTATGTAGCAAACTGAAACTGGGATGGTTGGAATATCACCTGATGATTATTATCGCATTATGGTGAAAAATATATAATGAGCCTTTATTTTTTCGTACTTAAAGGATTTATAATCTTTCAATATACATATACTCCTAATTTTGACGTAATCTGTCGGTTACAAAAATCATACAGATGTTAAAATAATACATATATTCCAAATAAGAATAAATAAAAAAATGGCTGCATTTTCTTTTAAAAAATAATATTATCTTATTGATTCTGATAATCAGACGTCAAGCTTATTCAAAGACAAAAATTAATACAGGAATGGAACTCTATGAAGCTATAAAATATATATAATTTCTTCACTACAAATTCATCCCACTATGTACCGTCATAAATAAAAAATTTCAAGTATGCTTGAATTTTGAATAAATAATGAATGATACTTAAACCTAACCTTCGTAATCATATTGATTATTATATTTATAAGATCTATAACTAATTCCTTATATTCCTCTATATATTTCATGTAACGGGAACGTTTAAGTTAATACAATTATCTTCAAGTAATATGTATACATAACATGTAATGCACTTTTCACTGATACGTAACACCTTCAATATGAACACACCGCTTGTTTCACTGCCAAATGAACAGACATTAAAAATATTAAACATATTAAATAGATCATTAAACATATTATAATGTAAAGAATATTTTTTAGTATGAAAATTACTATGAATATTAAGTAAGAACATGTTCGTATCACGACTTCGTATTGGTTATTATTGAAGTTATTTTCTGTCATATAATTATTTAAGTCTATTATTTTTTAATAAACTTTAATTATATAACTGTTGGAGAATAATAAAAATTTATATTGATTTCTAACTGTAACTTTATGTGATAGTATACACCTAGTTGTATTTACTGTTAAAATATCTTTAACATTTCGTCGTGTGAAATGTTCAAGTAATTTTTAATATATATATATATATATATATATATATATATATATATATATATATATATATATATCATCAGTTTGTAAGACTGCGTGAAAAATGAATTGAATTCTGAAATATCTATACATGTATATCTGTTAATAATTCTTAAAAAACTTTCTATGTCACTTGTATAAATACGAACGAATGCGTGAGATTTTTTTCCTGTACACGTAAAACTAAAATATCGAACTATAAATCAACTCTCTATAATGAAGACGTTTACACAAACACTAACACTATATCCAGGCTTCAGAGACGCGTGCGTACACAACGAATACCGCGGTTGCACTGAGAGAGACTTGGACTCAAGTCTCCATACAAACATACATCCTTCATAGATTTACATAATACGAAAGTGATTTTTAATATCTTCCTTAATCTAACATGTTATTATAAATATGTATTATATGAAAATTATGGCTGATTTTTTAATGTTTATACTTAAAAACGTGTTGATGTGAAATGATATACGATTAAAAGACGGAAATTAATATATTTTAACAGAAAGTTTTCAAATTTTTGGTTGTAATTTAGTAATAAAATATAGTAGTTTTTAAAAGCATGAGATAATTTCTAAAAAAACTACTGTGATGTTTGTCATTCTGTCTGGTTAATCGTCATTAAATAAGAATTTCGTCTATTTATATGTAATTCAGAAAAAAATCTTAGCATTTTTAATAAATGAGCCATATAGGGGAGAGTCGGATATATCGTACCACTTTTCACTTTAACTCAAATATTTCGACTATAACACGTCTTATAATAATTAAAACATATGTAAAATAAAGTTTAATATTTTAGCTTCCTAAAAAAAAGAGAACAGATCCTTGCGATTATTCTAACATTGTTAAAAATGCTTTTTTATAGAGGCTTGCCATCGGTACGATTTAGCCGACTAGTCGTTTTAATCGTACCACTAAGTCTTTAAATCGTACCATGGGTGTTTAAGTCGTACCACTGAATGAAAGACATTAAAATTCTCAATCAAATTATTTATTTTTAACTGTTAGGTAAGTAATAAAACAACATTATTTATATGTTTAACGTAATAGAAACATAATTTTTAACTCTTAGGTTATATAAAGGAACTATAAACTTTCTCAGTAAAATAACATGATTATACTATGATTAAATGAGATCAATCAACATAACTAATAAAAATGAGACAAAAAAAAACAGTAAACTACAATAATAAAGTAACAGTTAACAAGAATGTTATTTGTAATATAATTATTGTGCATATTTCTTAATGGAAACAATCATGACAAATGTCTGGATTCGAAGTAGGTACATGTCTCATGAAGCCACCGTTTACAGCGAACGCATTGAATCCAATCAACTTTTGGACCCTTCTTATCCTAGTAAGAACAACTGCACTTTCGACATATAGGTATTTTCAAGATAATCATCGTTGTCATCATCATCACCTAGTTCTACAACAAGTGTCTCTCCTGAATCATCGCTACTGGTGATGGAATGAGATCGTTTCCTCTTATAACTTTTGTTTTTGGCCTTGAGTAGTACTTACTATACGTACTTGCGGTAGTACTATAGGTACTTGCGGTTGGTAGTCGGGTAAATCGTACCAGTACAATTTAACCAACTGCAAGTGGTACGATTAAACCAACTAAGGCATTTCTGAAACAAAAGTAAATATCCGACATAAACTCAAAACTTAGACACGCAACAAAAACCCCCAATAATCTAGTATACAATTGTGGAATAATAAAAAAAACTGAATAACTATAGCTTACCTTGATTACGAGTTATCTCCTTACGAATGTACGACAATATTTATATTAATTCCTACAAAAAATGTTTTTCTTTTATTACTTGCACAGTTGTTAACTCACGTCGATTTAAACTAGTGGGTGAAGAGGGATGGTACAGGGCCACGATTTGGCGTTGTCAGTGTAGAAAAAAATATTCATTAAATGGGAAATTTAGAAGTGGTACGATTTAAATGCTAGTACGATATAACCAACTCTCCCCTAAGTACTACAGGGAATTTTATATTTAAAAAAAGTTAGGATGAAAATGTTCGTTTTTTAGTCAATAAATAATGAAAGAAATACAATTATTTTGTATTACTTTTAATTTAATAATTTTTTATATATTTTCGTGAATTTATAAAAATATCAATAATCCTTTCTATTTAAACAGAATTAAGTATAATTTTATATCATCATCGTCGTCATCATTAAAACAAAATTTATTGATACTATATTCATAGAGTAATTAATGTACTTCACATAGACTACACAGTATAATAGGTAACAATGAACGATAGAAACTGTAATATTACCATAAATGGTAATGTATGATAAGTTTTATCTAATATGATATCGCAATACGAAAATGCAATCGAATTATCATATGTTTATTACTATATGATATAAAATATATTGGATAGTAAAAAAATATAATATATATAGAATTTGTTTTATTAATAACTTAAAAGATTTATATAAAAAATAATTGGTATCAATATGAATGCAAAAACATATATATATTTTTTTATTTTAAGGATAATTAATATTGGTGCATTTCTCTTTATAATTTGTCTCAAAATAAATTAAACGATGACAAATTAAATTCACCGGTTGATATTTAAATATTTATATTATTAAAGATGATATTGAATTTTTTTTTTATAAAAATATCTTCTATAATGATGAAACTGTATGTTAATGAATATATAAATATGTAATGTTGTAAGTATGTTTGTATCACTGAACCAAATCGATCTGCGAAAGTACATCCGAGGTCGCCTCAAAACACTATACACCTATTGTTCGTATAAATTTACTTGCTCTATATGTACATATAATATACTTATTTAGATACAAATAAAATCCGATTTGTACTCAATTTTTTTTTTATTCGTATAAAATTATACAGCATTCGATATTTTATATCTATCAACTAGCAGGTATTAATAGTAAGTTCATATATGGGCCGTCTAATAAAAAAAACGTCGACACATTTGACACTACCGTAGATACAGAATAATTATTAATAATACAATCTCTAAGACTGTACAAAATTATTTCAAAATAATATTTATGTTTTTTATATTTAGAATTGTTTTATTAATATTATACCTATTCCGAATTCTGTAACAACCTTACAGCGCCATCTGTCGTTAAGAGGATGAATTTATTGTTCGCTCAAAAGTTACTCGATAGTAGCACAGATGTCACTATTTTAAATTTGTATAATAATCAAATTTTATTCCTAACAAAATTTATTTAGGCCATTTAATTTAAATTTTTAGCCGTAAAATCTTAGACAGTGCTGATAAAAGAAGCAAAAGTTAATTATGATATTTGATTATGGTATATGGTAATAATTTTCGAATACGTTTTGTATGAAAAATCCGACATTAATGAAATCGTATACATAGCCATACACTACAAAAATAATTCAAATTAATATCACAAGTACATATATCAATTGACACATTAAAATAAAACTATATTTTCAATAACATCAGACTTAATGCAAAAAGAGCCCAATACAGGCTAGTATATATAACATTTTCAGTTAATTAGTGTAATTTTGGTGTATTAACTAACCTTCTCAGCCTTGTCTGTTGGCGGGGAGGCGGGAGGGCTGTGAGGCAGACCCAGGTCTTCATCCTCATCACTATCACCACGACCTCGTCTGCGAACAGCTGCTACTAACTCCGCCTGGGAAATATACACTTACATTAAAGATTACATCAAATAATACTAGCTAGAAAATATATGTGATCAAAATAGTCGTTTAATATGAAAATTCTTTAATGTTTTTAATAGCATCTGTTGTGGTCATATTATTCAATATTGAATCATGTATGCAGACAATGTGATGAGAATCTTGGATTAATACGAAAGATTATAAACTGTCGTTACAAACTTATGTATATATTAATACATAAAAATATTGCATTGAAATATATATACGTCAATAATGTACTACAATAAAGTGACCAATAAAATTACGTAAATTTAAAGCCGGTTAAAAATATGACTCGTAACGTAAAAATTAATTTTAAAAAGTTCTTAAATTCACTTATCTATTTTTAAATGTAATATAAGTCATTTTAACTACATATAAATAAAATTCGTATGTTTGTGAGTAAAGTTTCATATTTATCCTCGTTTCTTCAAAAAAGATATAGACATTATTTGTAATAGGCATTAATTAGTTTTAATCTGTTTTACAAATAATATTAAAGTCAGTGTTACCACTTAATTATACGGATCATAAAATAGTAGTTTATTTATATAATAATCATGAAATTCATAAGAAAAATTGTATTATATTACAAATGAATAATATAAGTTAAAAACTATATGTGTCGTTGAAGGGATGTGATAGTATTATCACTCACATCCTGCACCTTTTATAATTAACGCATTATTAATTAAAACATTAATATTTAAATTATAGGGTATTTATAAAGCAATTAATCGGTATTAAAAATCACTTGTTTTTTTATGAAACATATTTATTTTGGTCAGTTATGAGTCAATCGCTTTATTGTGTATGATCGACTAAGTCACTTGTTTTCGAAGGAAATAATTATTAGAAAAGACACGTCATTGTGATAAGTAATAATTTGCGAATATTTTCCTCAAAATATTCATGGAATATATATTATACTAATTTATTTTTAGTTATAAATTTGCAATGTTGATTAGTGATTACATGTTTAAAATATATTTCAAGCATTTTTCGAAACATTGTTAATCAGCGCCATCTACTATATAAATATACCACTAAAATGTGAAGTATTTTTTGAGTTCAGTAAAAAAAATGTTAGCAAATTTTAAAATATTAATGTTTCTCAAATTTTAATAAATATGTATAAAATACACATTAATTTAATCAGTTACGTATATAATTAAGTTGTTATTATATTCAATTATAGTGTTTTTTTGTCGTAACTCTAACACCAACCCATAATCTCCCGATCCTCGTCTCTGTCATCCATTGGAACCTCCTTCGCCATGCTTGATTCATGCCCAGATATTTCAACACACTCTTATAATTGACACCATTTCACTAATATATTTATTATTAATTTATATTCACTCACTAAAGTGTCCGTTAAATGTTAAGACACCACCATTCAGATCAGTTGTTTAATTCTAAATACGAGCTAAACAAACAGTTGACTAGAGTCGTGATGTACACAGGTCGGCTATATTTGATTTATCCCTACTAATATTATAAATGCGAAAGTAACTCTGTCTGTCTGTCTGCTACGCTTTCACGCCTAAACCACTGAACTGATTTTAATGAAATTCGGTACAGAGATAGAGTTGACCTTGAGAAAGAACATAGGATAGTTTTTATCCCAGACTTTTGAAAGGTTCTCTTGGAAACGCGATATAACCGAACTCCACGCGGCGAAGCTGCGGGCGGAAAGCTAGTATGTAATATAAATGTCTTTTTGGATTATTTCGTAAGTTGTGTGTAGTGTTGATAATTGAATAGATTCGTCAGCTTTAATTTTGAGTATTATTTCTGCTAAAAATAGTTTTTTTACAGTAGGTAATTATTTAAGTTTAGGTTTTTGGTAGTTTTGAAATTTGAGTTAAAAATACGATTTAATAAATAATCCTATCGGTATGCTGACCAAAAGTTACCATACCTCTTTGCATATTATTTAACGAAGAATAATAAGTGTGAAACGAAAAACGATTCGTACGTAGTTTAACGATGAAAACTTGTACTAGGACAACAGATGCATGGCATATACGACTTTTGTACAAGCCTGTCTTTCCAAATCAAGTTATACATAATAGCGGAAATTAACCTTTTAATAAAATCCTTAGCTTCAAACTATTAATGAATATGAAAACTTAAATTTTGTTTCACAGGAAAAATTGTTGAAATAAACTTGATGTTCTATATTAGAAGTTATTCTGTATAAAACTAAACTAAATATCCTATAACACAAAAGGTACATAAGATTATAACGTAGAAAGTCGAGACATATAAATGGCAACGCTTTCTTCGTGGTCAGTAACTTACCATCCATTGTAAGACGGACCATCGTGTTATATAAACAATGAGACTTATCGGCCCATCATTATTGTTTTATAATAATTACCATAAATGTTATATTCAAAGTAATTAAATATAATTTATAATGTTCTATTGTAAATAATTAATTTTCCTTGTTATTTGTTTTGCTATGTCCATATGTAGGCAGCATCGAAACAGAGGTCGTCTAAGCCTATATATAAAAGTATTTATGTTTGTTGCTCTTTTACGCATAAACTACTGAACCGATTTTAATGAAACTTTACACTAATGTAGCTTAGACCTTAGAATAAGACATAGGATATTATTTTTTCTAAAATTAAGTGTAGTTGCCATGGAATCAAGACCAATACATAACAGTTGTGTACTGTGTAGTATATAGTTATGTGATACTGACGATAGATGTTACTGTTAGTTGGTTACCACATTCTGCTGACACACTTTATAAATATATCTCTGAGCCTATCGAAATCCAAGCGGACGAAGTCAAGGAAAAAAAATAGTATTGAATATATTATCAAACAGGTTTAAATGTTAATGAAATGTAAATAGCTTGGCGAAATACTAACGACTATGTATGATATTAGAGAATTAATGTTATTAATTTAATAACTAAATATGTAGATAGTGTTATGTGCGTCTCTAAAACTCAATGTATACAAACATACAAATGGATTTCTCGCTTCATCCAAATTTGTAAGGGCCAGCGTTTTGTAACGTTGATTAAAGATTTTGTAAGACCGCGTGGGCGGCTTCTTGGGAATATTGTCACAGAAAGTAAAGTTTGTATATATATAGAGAGAGATATATATAATCATATAATGCTTCTATATAAAAATTGAATGTTATAACCAATGTTATACTTTGTTTCGTATTTGGATAAAGTTTTGTCATCAAAAATAACTTTCCTTAAACTATAAAGAAGGAATACCTACTCCGAATTTATTCAATTTCCGTCGGAACAGCGCGGGTCGAACTTTTTTTAACAATCTCTGAGTCGTTCATATGAACATAAAGATATTGAAAAATAACCAAAAAATAACCAAAATTTATAAAAAAACTTTCATTATATATAAAGTACTTAAGATATTAGTCTTCAAAATTATTTTATTACAAATAAAAAAAATGTTATAAAATCGATTCGATTCAAATTTCTTAATAATCTGACGATGCTATCACCTGATTTATTAAATTAAGAAAAATATATTTAATATACCAATATTTTATTTTATATATTCCTTATTATGGAGTGTATTTTGTACGCCTACACTAAACAAATGAAACAAAGCTGCATTATTCACTATTGAATTAATTAGGACTTTGATAAGAGCTTAAATAAACATATGTTATAAGTTAAGACGCGATGACTCGGTTAAAAAAGTAACCAGGATTCAACATCCCATAAGTGACAGGTTCAAATCCGTTAAAATCGAATTTTCTATTTCATAATATTTACTTATTTTAGTATATATGTTATTCTTTTACATATAATTTTCATAGAAATTTACACACTAGCTTTTGTATCAAATATGTATGCTACATTTCCGTTCAAAGAGGAAACAAAAGACATATACTATAAAATTTATAAGACTGCAATCATTATTGTATATAATGAATTAATTAATTATTAATGGATATTTATATATCATAATATACAAGTATACATCTAATAATTTTAAATACAATATATATTGGGAATGCATTAATCAGTGATGTCTAAATACTCTTAGAAAGTACATATGACTCGGAAAAGTCACATTGGTACTTGCCCGGGCCAGGATTGAACCCGCGCCCTCGTGCATGAGAGGCGGGCCTTTTAACCTCTAGGCCACCACAGACTTCAATCATCTACATATTTAAATATAATCTCAAATATTTAAGGGTTAATATTGAGAGACCCGGTTGCCCTTTCCCCCCCATTCCCACCTTTTCCTCCCCTTTCCCTGAATCAAGGTTGGCAACACATTCGCAAATCATATTTGCAGATTTCCATGAGCGATAGTACTACCTCCATAGGCCGTCTGCTCGTTGGCCTTTTAGCATAAAAAATCTTGCTACCTAATCAGCTTTTATAACTTATTGTATAGTAATGAATACTTAAAATAAGAATCAGTCAAATCTATGAAGCTTATTATTAGTTATGAATTGTTTTAAATCACAAAAAACCGGTTTAAGGAGAGTTCTAGTGACGTGATATGATTATAATCGTGACAACGGTTTTCAATATACAGGTTTTAAATATACTTTTACTTTTATCATGGAGATCTAATTTGATGTGAGATTTTTATATTAATATTTAATTTATTGTCTACTTTCTGATTGTTTTTGTATGTTAATATAATGATATTGTGTAACAGTGATGAAATTTTTAATAAAATTTGAGAACTGCGACATATTTTTTATAAAATTAATGGGTTTTTAAAATATTTTTTATTTTATTTTTTGTATTATAACCATTTTTGCTTTACTTTACATAATTAAATACTCGTATTTAAATCGTAATTTGTTTAATTATTATATGGTAATCCAGAATTATTCAAATTTTAAAGCCTTTCGTACTCTTTAAGAAGCTTTTAATTACATTATGAAAAAAAACAAGATAAATAATTAAGACATATACAGTGTATACGGCAAAACAGTTAAGAAAATAAGA